GTGCCCTGATTTGCCTCTCCAAAATGCAGCACCTCACTTTTATCTAAATTAAGCTCCATCTGCCACTCCTCAGCCCATGGCTCATCTGATCAAAGTCCAGTTGTATTCTGAGGTAACCTTCTTCTCTGTCCACCACATCTCCAATTTGGGTGTCATCTGCAGACTTATTAACCATACCTCCTGTATTCACATCCAAATCATTTAGATAAATGATGAAAAGCAGTGGACCCAGCACCGCTGGTCACAGGCCTCCAGTCTGAAAAGCAAACCTCCACCACCATTCTCTGACTTCTACTTTCAAGCCAGTTCTGTATCCAAAAGGCTAGTTCTCCCTGTATTGCATGTGATCTAACTTTACTAAGGAATCTTGTCCAAAGCCTTACTGAAGTCTATATAGATCATGTCCACCGTTTTGCGTTCATCAATCCTCTTCATTACTTCCGCAAAAAACTCAATCAAGTTTGTGAGACACGATTTCCCATGCACAAAGCCATGTTGACTATATTGTATATATTGATCAATATATCAACTATAGGTTGATTAGAATATATCTGTCCTGAGGAACTCCTGCACAGATGTCCTGAAACTGAAATGACTGACCTCTAATCAGCAGAATGATCTTCCTATGTGCCAGATATGACTCGAACCAATGGAGAATTTACCCCAATTCCAAATGATTGCAGTTTTGCTAGGGCTCCTTGATGCCTCACTTGGCCAAGTGTGGCCTTGATGTCAAGAGCTGTTACTCTCACTTCACCTCTGGAATTCAGCTCTTTTGTCTACGTTTGAACCAGGGTTGTATTGAGGTCAGGAGATAGGGTTCCCTGCCAGAACTCAAACTGAGCATCAGCGAACAGGTTATTGCTTCCATCACTTTACTGATAATTGAGGGTAGAGTAATGGGCAGTAATTGGTGGGTTGGATTTGTGGACAGGACATCCCTGGTCAATTTTCCACATTGTCAAATGGATGTCAGTTTTGTAGCTTTAAGCAGAGCAGCTTGGCTAAGGGCAAGTCGTCAGTACTATTGCTGGAATGTTATCAGGAACTGTACCCTTTGCAGTGTCCAGAGCCTCCAGCCATTTCTTGAGATCACAGGGAGTGAATAGAAATAGCTAAATGGGAAACTCTGAAGGAGGTTGAGAATGGATCATCCACTCAGCAATTCCGATTGAAGATTGTTCTGAATGCTTTTCTTTAGCACTAATGATTGGGCTTATTGAGGATAGAGATGTTTGTGGAGCGTCCTCCTCCAGTGGGTTTTTACAGCTATAGACAATGTTTTGTGGTTAGGTCCCGATCTATCTATCTATTCAAATTCTATGAACCCTGTTTCCAGAGGTTTGATGTGGCATCTTTCGCATATCCAGGATTCTAGGTCATACAGCAGGGTGGTAAGGATGATAGAAACCAGGTCAATTGGCTTATTTGGCGGGACAGCTTGGTTGTGATGCAGAGTAACACCAGCAGCATGGGTTCAATTCCCTGTACCAGCTGAGGGCACCATGAAGGTCCCACCTTCTTTACCTTTAAGGACAACAGCCTGGTCAGTTTGAATGTCATGTTTTAACACTATGCTGTTTCCAAACCTGATCATAGAGTTGATCAAAGTCAGGACTTGCTGTCTGGATGCTTGCACTAATATCATTGTAAATAGTAGCATCCCCAGAGATGTCAGGGTGGGAGAATATTTTCCCATCAATGAGTCTGGAGCCATCGACAGTTGTATTTGGTGCTTCTTCTCATGTTCCTGGTGCTTTCTGAAACATTGCCTTGGTCTTTGAGTTGCTGATTTAGAGACCAAGGTTTTGGCTGCACTAAAGAATTTGTTTGCCATTAGCCAGATGTGCTTCTTGCTGTGGGCAGCTAGAGGCTCTCAGATCACTGCCTCTGTGACTTTGGTGGAGAACACTGTCGGGAGAGATTGAAGAGCTTCCTTGAGTGGACAAGGTGATAAAGACAGTTGAATCGACCAAATTAGACAAAACTCCTGAAGTAGGGACATTCTAGCAGTTTTGAAGTATAATATATTTTATGTTATACAAGTGTAATATGTTTTTTTCCAAATATACAGCCACCTTCAAGAGTATTTGAAAATAGAAAAGATTTCCACTGACATTACAGCCTTGGTTCAAACATGGACAAAAGAGCTGAATTCCAAAGGTGAGGTGAAAGTGACAGCAAGGCTGCATTTGACCCAAGTATAGGCATCAAGGAGTCCTAATGAAAACTGGAGTCAATTGGAATCAAGGAAAATTGTTTGCTAGTTGGGGTCAAACTAGCTTAATGGTAGATAATTGTGGTTGGTGGAAGTCAGTCAATTCAGCTCCAGGACATCTCTACAGGAGTTTCTCAGAATAGTGTCCTAGGTCAAACCATCTTCAGCTGCTTCCTGAATGATCTTCCCTCCATCAAAGTTAGAAGTGGGGATGTTTGCAATGATTGCATGGTGTTCACCACCATTCACAACTCCTCAGGTATTGAAATAGTGCACCTTCAAATGCATAAGCCCTGGACAATAACCGGGGCTTGAACTGAAAAGTAGCAAATGACATTCACACCACACAAGCTAGACAATGACTGTCTCCAATAAGAGACAAATTGAACTACTGCCCCCTGACATTCAATGGCAGTACCATCACTGAATTCCCAACTATCAACATCCTGAGGGTTACCATTTGCCAGAAACTGAACTGGACTCACAGTGGCTACGAAAGCAGTTTGGAGGCTCGGAATACTGCAGTGAATATCTCATCAAAGCTGGACAACTGTCTATAATACACAAGTCAGACATGTGATGGAATACTCCGCATTTGTCTGGATGAGTGCAGCTTCAACAACACTCGAAGCTGGACATCATCCAGGACAAAGCAGCTCACCTGACTGGCACCACCAACGTTCAGTAGCAGCAGTGTGTACCACCTACAAGATGCACTGCAGAAATTCATCTAAGATCCTTCAGCAGCACCTTTCAAACATTACCATGTAGAAGGACAGGGCAGCAGATAGATAGAACACCAAGGAAGAGGAAAAGAACAAACAGCTCCCGTTCCTGGACGTCATGGTGGAACGCAGGACCAACAGGGAATTCCTAGCAAAGGTACACTGGAAAGCCACACACACTGACCAAGTACTGAATTTTAACAGCAACCACCCTAACACAGCCAAACAAAGTTGCGTGAAAACTCTATTTAAACGGGCAACAACATTCCGCAGCAACACAGAACTACACCAAAAAGAAGAAGAGTACCTCTTCCAAGTATTCAAGGACAACGGATACCCGAAAAACTGGGTCAGAAGATGCCTATTACACAAACAACACCAGGAAGATACTACATGCCCCGACACACTCATCACACTACTTTACCTCAAGAACACATCTGAACTAACCACAAGACTCCTACGACCACTGGACATCAGAGCAGCACACAAACCCACATCAACCCTACACCAGCTGCTAACCCGAACCAAAGACCCGTTACCCACTATGGACAGGACCAACGTAATATACAAGATCCCCTGCAAAGACTGTGACAAACATTACATTAGATAGACAGGAAGAAAATTAGCCACAAGAGTACACGAACATCAACTAGCAACAAAAAGACACGACCAATACTCGCTCATCTCCATCCACATGGATATGGAAAACTACCAGTTTGATTGAGACAACACCAGGATCCTAGGACAGGCCATGCAGAGACAAGCACGGGAAGTCCTAGAGGCCTAGTTCTCCACTAAAAAGGCCATCAACAAACACATTGAACTAGACCCTATATTTACTCCACTGCGACGGAAAACCAGAAGTGAGGTAACCCAGCTCAATGGACCCCAGAGTTCAAATACCAGGTGGGAAAACACACCAGCGCTTCATTGGAGGCTGCACTGATGATGTTACCCAGCAGGGTAATGAAACGTCTGCAGAACAATGAACCAGCTCGGTGAGCCAACCAACCACAACATCCACAACCCAAGCTACAAATCTATTCAAAAACCTTAGAACACCACAATCTGCAAGTCCCCCTCCAAACCACTAATCATCCTGTTTTGGAAATATATAATTGTTCTTTCAATGTCACTGGGTCAAAAATCCTGGAATTCCCTCCCAAAATGCATTGTGGGTCTACCTACTGCAGCAGTTCAAGAGGCAGCTCACCACCACCTTCTCCAGACCAGCTAGGGATGGGTAATAAATAATAGCCCAGCCACCAATGCCCAAATCCCTTGAATGAATTCTAAAGAAGTACTTCATGGTTAGCACTATGGAAAGGATTCAAAAATGTATGTAATATTTACTGAGAAATAAGTCCTCTCTCATTCACAAGAAAGGCTCTCACAAGGATCCTATTGCACTGTCTACTAAACTTTGTAGATGATTTCCTTCCAGAATCACAGTGTGGTTGAGGATTAACTGTGGGGCTGCTGATATGGTGTTTGCAACAAGGCAACTACAAGGAAAGTGCTGAGAGCAACATCAGGATCTATGCCTGCTCTTCATAGATCAAACTAAAGTTTTTGACAATATGAGTCAACCTGGTCTATGACGTTCAAACAAGTTTGTCAAAACTCTGCACCTGCTGCATGATGGTGTTTTTGGGTGTCTTTGTGCCTGTGGGGAGATATCTGGTGTCTTTGTGGTCACCAGCAATGTAAAGCAAGGCCAGGTCAATTCTTCAATCTCTACTTTTCTGCAATCCTTAAGGAACCTGCCAGAGATATTGCATCAACATTAGGTTCTAGTCAGGGAAACTCTTCAATCTCTCCTGTAAATCCGTGTTCAATTAAATATTAAAAATCGCAATATCAGTGGCCCTCATATCAACCCCAGGGGAGTTGTAATCTTTCTAATCCAAAACAAAATTGTTTGCCACTACTTGCTGTTACCAGGTATTAAATCTGCATGGTGATCAGAACTTTGCTGTTTAGGGGGTAATGGAAAGGTTGGAGCTATATCTTTCGATATTGAAAATCTCTGACATGCATGTTATGTTTTAATCAAGCCTACAGTTGCCGATTTCCTGAACTTGGCATGGTGGAGCTCAGCTGCTGCCTGGTAAGATAATGCTCTTCTCTTTACCGCTGTCTCACCAGAAAGGGAATGTGAGAAGCACTAGAGGTGATCTCTTACTGTGTGATACCGCACTGCTTTCTGACAGTATAGCTCATGTGTGGTCAGAGTTGTACTTGAGTACGTGCGTAACATTGGGAGTGAGTTGGTTGTGTGACAGTGACTCTGAGGCAGAGCCAGATTTTATTAGTGTTCTGTCCTACTTGTGTTTTGTACTAAGAATGTATCTGTAAGAATTTAAAATTGAAATACTGTCTCCCTTTGCTGCTTTTTCCCTTCTTCAAAGTAATGACCCAATTCCATCAGCTAGATCATCACAAAAGATCTTTGGGAAGGAAACTTTCAACATTTCCACCCTCAGGGTCATTGTGAATGCACTCCAATGTCACTAAAATTGTTTTTAAATGACTGGGACCACATTCTTTGTAGATTCAGCCATTGGAAGGAATCTCCTTTTTTCTCACCCGTTTTGTATTGGGTTCAGAGGAAAGTTTCGAACATAAGTCCATGAAATAAGCAGCTCTCACGATGGGTCTCTCAATGAGTGATGTTGGTGCAGCTTTTAGCAAATTCAGATGTGGCTGGAGCAAAGTCACCAAACTATAATCCACAGTAAAAACATGGCAGTGCCAGAAATAATGCCCCATCTTTGGTGGTGATTTTCAATTTCAATGCTCACCTATCAATGACAATGCCTTTATTAATTTCCCAGGTCTTTACTGCAGCAGTTGCTATACACCCTTACTTTACAATTCAGCTTCCAAACAGGTAAGAGCCTCTGGTGTTTCTTTGAGGGTGGGATATATAGAAAGGAAAATTAAACAGATCAGTTGGGCTCTGGTTTAGTTCCACTTCAGATCACAGCACTCCACCCGAAACACTACTTACCCGTATTTTAGACAAGACTGGAAGTTGCTCTTACAGCATCTCTTAATATCACTCTCCAGATCTGTGCGCTGTCTGATGTCACATAATTATCGAGATCTTATTTAGATCCCAGTACACATTTCTCACACTAAAGGGCTCAAGTTTCTTGGATTTATGTGCAAGAAGCACTTATTCCATGACTGATACCTTTATGGTGCTCAGAGACTTTTAGGCCTTCCTGGAAGCAGAATGTGAAGGCTGTTACCTAACTCAGGTGGAAGCAGATATTTGCACACCTGCCTTAATTCCTTTGTTTTATTACTGGTACGTCACCCTGAAGAGGTGGACCCACTGGCTCCACATTCAGCCCTTTTCCAGTTAAAGAGGTACAAGGTCAGCAAACAATGTTAACAGAAATATCAGCCCAGGGATGAGTGCTTCTGAGGAAGATGCTGGGGCTTGGGTGGGTGGGAGTTTGCTTGTCTCATTTCAGCAGTGAATGGGCAAAGGCCCAACCACATTGTTGCTGCTAGAGGCCTTTGGCCTGTGAGATCTTAACCTCTCAATTAGATATGGACTCAGAATGACTGGAGCCATTGAACCTGAGAATGTAAGCTAGGTCCACCTCACTGTAAATGTAACAGCAAGGTCAATGTTTAGATCTTAACTGTAAAACATTAATTCTGTTCCATTGCTCAATGCAATATGCTACCACTGATATTTCCAGGTAAGTTATTGGAACTAGTTGCCAGTATGGTTCTGTTAATTCTCCCTATTCCTTTGTTACTAGACGATACATTTGCAGATGGTATTGAACTGAAGGAGACGAGCTGTGTCACCAAGCAGACACAATACTACTTTGGCAACAACAGTAGATCCTACAGCAACTTAATTGACTGCAGCAACTGCTCCAGGTTAGCAACTAACTCAAGGTTCAATCCCCATTGACCTAACGTTAAAAGGAAGGAGTGTGCTGCCAAGTCACCACAGTTAAACATAGTTTCCTTGTTGGCCCAGTAAGGGGCACCAGGCAGAAGGGGAGAACATTTTCAGGGGGAAACAGCCAATGCAGATGTGGTCTATGAATGGGAGAATTACTGCTGCCTACCACCAGGGCAATATAGAATTTTAGAAAGGTCACAGCACAGCAGGAGGCCATTCAGCCAATTATGTCTGTGCTCAGTCTGCAAAGGACCAAATATTTAGATGGCTGCTAGAGTGACCTCTGAAAATCAGTTCTATGGTTACACTTTGACACATTTTAAGGACTATCTTACAACAAGGGCTCAGTTTGTGTCTCAACCCAACCCACTATGCAGAACAGTCAGCACCATCTGGAGTTGAGGCCTAGGAAAGAGTTCAGCTAGATCATTACAGTAGGAAAACTGCTTCATAAATCAAGAAATGTAAGTATTCTGGTGGGCCACATATGCCTCTTGGAGAATTAAGATCTCAACCATTCATAGCCTCGATGGCTCAGATTGATTTTTCAGGTTTTAAATGTGACAGGGATCTTTTCATCACTGGTTTTGTTCCACTTGGCTAAGATTCACAACCACATGTAAAAGTTGATTTTATCAGAATAACCACTGCAGATTGTCAATAAATCTTCCTGTCTTGTCACAGGTTTTACCATGCGCAGAGACTGGCTAACACCAACCTTCTCTTTGTGGTTGCCGAGAAGCTAACTTGTAGTCAGTGTAACCGAAGCAAACTGATCCAGTCTGAGGTGCAATGTATCCTGTCCTTGAATAACTGTACATAGCTCCACAAAGAGCATGTGAATTAGCACAGTCTTAAGGAAATCTGTTGTAAGGAGGGTCAGTGACCTGGAGTGGAGGGAGCGGTCAGTGAGCTGGAGTGGGGCAATGCAATGCTTTGCTGTAAATTATGCTGTAGATTTTCACAATTTCTGATTCCACGTAAGTCTAAACTAATAGGAAAAGGTTACGGATCTAAATCACTCATTTCCTTTGTTATATATCTCCCAGGTTTTGTTATTAACCTTACTTCTCTTCACCAGTTATGTATTCACTTTTTTTTCTCTTCCCATCACCTCAGTCTAGTACAAGTTGATTGAGTCAAATGAGGTTTTATAATACATGTGAATTGTATATTACTATTCATTCCTGAATCACTCTGTCCTACAGTTCATTGCTTTACTGAGGTTCTGAAAACACTTGACCCAGTTCCTGTTTGAATGTTGGATATGTCCAGCTCCTGTGAAGGGGTTCAAGTGCTTTTTAAATAATAGTCAATACAGTGTAGAGCTGGAGGAACACAGCAGGTCAGACAGCATCAAAGGCACAGAGGGAGACAATGTTTTGGGTTTACAACCTTCATCAGGACTGACTTTCCTGCTCTTCTGATGCTGTCTGACCTGCTGTGTTCCTCTAGCTCCACACAGTATTGATTCTGACTCCAGCATCTACAGTTCTTGCTGTCTCTCTCTTCTTAAATAATATCTGTTTCCAGTCCACTTCTATCAAATTATGTCTCAGTTTAGAATGCTGGCCTTTCCCTAGTTACATAGAACATTACAGCGCAGTACAGGCCCTTCGGCCCTCGATGTTGCGCCGACCTGTGAAACCAATCTGAAGCCCATCTAACCTACACTATTCCATTATCATCCATGTTTATCCAATGACCATTTAAATGCCCTTAAAGTTGGCAAGTCTACTACTGTTGCAGGCAGGGCATTCCACGCCCTTACTACTCTCTGAGTAAAGAACCTACCTCTGACATCTGTCCTATATCTATCACCCCTCAATTTAAAGCTATGTTCCCTCGTGCTAGCCATCACCATCCAAGAAAAAGGCTCTCGCTGTCCACCCTATCTAATACTCTGATCATCTTGTATGTCTCTATTAAGTCACCTCTTAACCTTCTTCTCTCTAACGAAAACAGCCTCAAGTCCCTCAGCCTTTCCTCATAAGACCTTCCCTCCATACCAGGCAACATCCTGGTAAATCTCCTCTGCACCCTTTCCAATGCTTCCACATCCTTCCTATAATGTGGCAACCAGAACTGTCCGCAATACTCCAAGTGCGGCCGCACCAGAGTTTTGTACAGCATCATTCATCACTTTCAAATATATACCAATTCCTCTTTGAATACCTCATATTGAATCCGTCTCTACTGCATTCCAAATCTTAACAACCAACGAAAGAAGTTTCTCCTTATCTCATTCATAGCTCTCTTGCTGACAATCTTGAAGTTGCAAACCTCCCCCTAGTTACTGACATACCAACTAGCGGAAACATAACATCCCTCTATACCTTGTAAAAAAAATTGTTCATTATTTTGAACACCTCAAAGCTTTTACTTCCATCTATTTTCATTCTTTTCTGTAACTGTTCAAAATCTGACTGAATTATAATCATTGCCAACAAAATGCAACTGATACCCCTTCCAACTGGCCAAAAAGGAGAAGAGGGGATAAAAAAAAAGGAAGCAGGATTAGCTTGCCAAATTATGAATTAAGTTTTATTACCTGGGATGAAAACTCATCCCGCTCTGTTTGCTGTACACATTGTATCCAGCTCAGGTCTAGCTGAGCATCTTGATCCAAAGCTCCCTCTAGACTCAGGGTGCAGACCACTCTAACATAGGCACAGTGAATTCCCACAGCCTCTTTACATACATGAAAGTATTGAATTAGAATCAAATCCCACCTACTCTATCTTTACCAAGAAAGTTTCCAAGCTTCCATTATTTTTAATTCAGTTAAACAATGTCAAAGAATGAGGTTGTAGACATGCTTGCCGAGCTGGTGGGTTTGGTTGCAAACATTTCGTCACCCTGCTCAGTAACATCATCAGTGCACCTCCGGTTGGTGTTCTGTCTCACTTGTTATGTATATGCCTCGGTTTGCTGGATTGGTTGGTATTACTTATGGTTTTGTTTGTCAGTGGTTTGTACAGAGGGTCTAATTCAATGTGTTTGTTGATGTTTGTTGAATTAGATCCTGTGTACAAACCACTGAGAAACAAAACTGGAAGTGATGCAAACCAAGGCATATAAATAACAAGTGGGAGAGAACACCGATGCTTCACCGGAGGTGCACTGATGATGTTACCTAGCAGGGTGACAAAATGTTTGCAACCAATCCCACTGGCTTGGCGAGCATGTCTACAACCTCATCCACAACCCGAGCTACAAATCTTCTTGAAAACTTTAAATGTCAAAGAATTCTAAGTAGCTGTACTTTGTTCCTTGTTATCCATCAATCAGTGTTTAAATTACTAAAGTGCAGTGAATTGAACAGAAACATTACCACATTTGCAGAAAACTCTCATGCATCAAATTACAAGAGATCTGAAGATAAAATTATCGGTTTTTTTTTCCACTGTGCAATAGTTCAATGAGATTTCAACTCAATTAAAATTGAGAATGTGATATGGATAATTACCATTGACATATTGTCAGCTCCACCAATCCAACCAGCCAAGTTTCAGATTAAATGAGCATGGCTTTAAAATATTATTTATTTTTGTGAAGGTTGGTTCAACTAAAACCTAATTATGGGTCAATGCATTTCAGTTTTCTTCAGATGTGGGAGGGTGCAGTATAACTATTTAATGATTTTCTCAAGACAAATCAGAAACTACCACTCCAGTACAACAAGATAGACAACAGCAAAAAAGCAGACTTGATTAGCTGAATGACCTACTTGTGCTCCTATGTCGAATGGTTTCAGCTTGTCGTGTACACACCACTTCTCTGTAAGAGCAAATCAGCTAGTGCCATGCTGCCACCCTTTCCATTTAGTCCTGCATTTTGTTCTCTTTAGTTGTTTATCCAAATCCCTTTGAGTGCTACAGTTGTATCTGCCTCTATCACCCTCTCAACTAGTGTATTCCAGATCTTAAACACAGTCACTTTGTACCCTTGTTGGTTCTTTGCCTAAACCCTTAAATGATGTACCCAGATTATTGATCCTGTACCAAGGCTAATAGTTTGTTACTCTCTGTTCACTCTGGACAGAGTTTGTTTGAATAATATGGTCCAGTCCCAGCTGGTTTTGCCTCTGGGTGCAGTTTTGTTTTGCTTGGGACCAAGTACAGTGCACTAGTTCCTTAACATTTTCACCCTCAGCTGATGGACCAGATCAGTGTGAAGAGGTGCTGAAGCCTAGGTATCGGAAAGCACCTGAAGACTGTTTTGATTACAATGCAGCAGTAAGTATTGCCATTTATCTTCACTCGTGAGATAATAGTGAGAAAGGATTTTGTGTATCTTTGCTTCTCCTGCACACTGACACCTATTGCTTGACATTGTGTGATGGCTAGTTTGGCATGGTTACAAACAAGGTAATTAGGTAGATGTAGAGAGAGAGGTTATTAATAAATGATCCGGCATGAGTGCAAATAGACTCCAGAACTTGAAAATGAGGCCTGAGGAAAACGTGGGTACACAACTCTAGGTATTTTCTTTCTGAGGAGTCTTGAGACGAGTTAGAATGAAATGTTTCATAATTTTGAAAGGTTAACCCAAGAGATCCTGTACCTGAATATGAATGTTTCTGATTTCTCTGAATATCTATGGCTGAAAATGATAGACTACGTTTCTTGAAACTGTAGATATTTTTCTAATTAACCTGTTCAGAGATGTTATTACGTACTTCTGGACTTGAACACAGACCTCCTGGCTCAGAGGTGGGAACACTCTCACTGTATCACAAGAGACCCATTGCAACTGTAAACACTTTGCTTTTAATGTGAAATGCCGTTGCACCCACTTTCATTTATAATTAGGATAACCTCCTATCATTGGTGACATTGAATGAGTCTAACTTTGGTTGTTTTATCACTTATCAACTTCACAGTTCTATCTTATATACTTTTGTACTTTTTTTTGATCTCTTTATCTAACACCATGCTCATCATGTTAGTTGCCCTGGTTAATAAGGAAGCAAAGTAATTGTTCAATATTTTTGCCATTTTTCATGCGCTTTTATCTTGTACTTGCCTCCGTGATCTACCCCATCCTGGTTATTCTGTTGTTACTTATGTCTGTGAAAACTTTATTCATTACTTTTATAGTTCTTGATAATGAATTTTATTTAATTTCTTTTCTAACCTCTTTGTAGTCCCTTATGTTAACTATATTTGAGGTGAAAAGTGTAGATCTATTTAAGGGGAAGGTCAATAAATACCAGAGGGACAAAGCAACAGAAGGTTATGCTGAAGGAGGTAGATGAAGTCTAGAGGGAGGAGGTACATGTAGTGCATAAACACCAATACAAATGGAAAGTGCAGGAAGATTCCAGCAGATCTGGGAGCATCAGTTCCGAAGAAGAGTTGAATTCAACACAATCTTTCTCATTACATGGACACTGCCAGGACTGTTGAATATTTCCAACATATCTTTGTTTTCAATTCAGATTATACCAGTTGAACTGAATGGCCTGTTCCATTGTTGTAAATGCAATGTAAAGCACTATGTTATCTATTTGATCCTACTAAAGTGTGTTCATCATTGTTGCAGGAGAATACCTCAGACTGCGGTGGTGGAGCCATGTTGACGTTCTCTATCTCCCTCTTATTAGCCCTGCAATTATTTCTCCTGCCTTGGACTGCTGATCTGAACCTCTTTCTCCGGGCCAGCAGTCTTTGATTCGGGACCTTCTGTAACTAGATATCAGCTGTGCAATTCTCACAGCTGAGGACTTCCCTTCCCCCGGAAGCCTAATTCCTCATTCCAGTCTCACATCTCTGTGTTGTCATGTGGTGGAGCTGCAAACTGTGTGTGCGTGTGTGTGTGTGTGTGTGTGTGGAGCTGGTCTATTGTGGTCGTTTGGACAACCAGTATTTTCCTGGCAAGAACTTGTGGGGAAAGCAGGATTTCATGGATCTGCTTTGTGGAAGACCCTTTACATGACTAAGAAGATGGGAAATGCAAGAGGAGCCTATTGTCCCCATGTGTAGACCCCATTGCTTTCCCAGACTTTCACTTTCCATTTAATAGGAGACCCAGGCAGTTTCAGTGTTACTGGACAGCATAACTTCTGTTGGTACATTCAGCTTCTATCTGCTGTTGAAGCGGGTTGCATTTATTTATGCACTACTTAGTTTTCATTGACAACCACGTCACAGGGCAATTTCCCAATAGAAGTGGCTGTAACTGTAATGTAGTTACATAAGCAGTCAGGATAGCATGTAACTCATTAGCACCTTGGAGTTGGCAGCTGCCTTCCTTTTTATACTGCTGCTTCCATTTTTATTCAGGGCAATCTCTGTCCTCAGTAATGAACTACGTACCTCAACTTCTTTTAAACTCATTTTAAATGTTCCTTTGTCTGAGCACAGGGGCTGCGACGTTCTCCAGCTGTTGTCTGCATCCCACTCCCAAACCTGTGCTTTAACTGTGGAATAGATGTGTAGGCATAAGTCACAGGTAACATTACACAGGTCCAAATGAAACCAGTCAATGTTAAAAGTTGTTTTGCACACTTTGTATATGTGGGGAAAGTGAGGAGAAAAGCAGAGCTGGGGGAACGTGACGTTGGTTTTCACCAATGGTGAAGGAGCTTTGTTCTGCACTCCCGTTTCACTGTGTTCTGCTTATAGATGACTGTAAGTAACCTACGATGATTTGAGAATGTGTGTAAAATGTTAGTTGAAATTGCTTGAGAGTGTTGTCAAGTTCCCAACAAGATGTTACTTGGAATCAAGAGAGTGTGTTGCGTTATTTGTAAACTGACTGGGTGTTGCCTTCAGACGGACTCATTATTTGTGTATCTGTTCCGTAAGGAAGATCAGCACTTTGAAAGAATAATGTGCAGGAAATCATCGAACAAAAGTCAGTAAGTGTATCATTTATTAGACATGTTATGTGCTGTGATATTGTGAAACTATAGACACTCTAGGAGCCTATAGTGAGTGAAATCTCAACACCTGCTAGATATCAAGCCTCCCTGTGAATGAGATTAACACTTATAGGGATTTTCAAATCTCTACGATCAGCAGAGGACATTATTCTTTAGATATGTTACTTATACACAGTTGTTCACTCATAAAATAAACTTCACATCCGAACACTATTTATTGTCTGTTACTCTTGCTCTCCTCCCTAGTCCTATGTTCATTTAAATAACTCCATGAGGAACATTTCGCCTCTCACTAACTATCCCTTACTGTATTCAGACTGTAGCTGTTGTGACATATGTACAGAATTCACTTTTCAGTGACTAAAATCTAAAATACTTAGACTGTTAGAGGGTAAATATCTGTGTTTCCAAAATGTTTAAATGAACTGCAAAGGTTTTTTGTTTTAAAAGACAAGGAGTTAAGAGATGGATTATTTTCACGCCAGGGTCTGACACTGCACTGGCTGAAGTCAAACTCAAATTGCGTGAGACTGCCTCTCCCAGAGGTATTATATCCTGCTTTGTTGTGAAGTGAACAAGGTTAGGCCTGAGCAGCAGCAGAAACCAACATTGGGAAGTCAGTGTATCAATAAACCTTCATCAGCAAACATCATGATATTTTACTTTGTTTATTATGTCAAAGGCACTAATACAAGTTGTTCCTGTTTTGTCTTTTTGTTTCTGTTTACTAAATACCTCTTTCTCAACAAAATGCCTTGATTTACATCTCGTTAGGAAGCATTCAAATCTTGAGTATTGCTGAAAAGATTATCAAAAATTACAGAGGGATCTTGTTCAGATGGGGAAGTGGACTGAGGATTAGCAAATGCAATTCAATACAAATAAGTGTGAGGTGTTGCATTTTGGAAAGTCAAACCAAGGTAGGACTTATACAGTAAATGGTAAGGAGTGTTGTGGAACAGAGGGACCTAGGAGTACAAGTACATAGTTCGTTGAAAGCGGTGTTACAGGTAGACAGGGTGGTGAAGAAGGCATTTAGCATGCTGGCCTTCATCGGTCAAGGCATTGAGTACAGGAGTTGGGACGTTATGTTACAGTTGTATAAGTCGTTGGTGAGGCCGCACTTGGAGTATAGTATACAGTTTTGGTCAATCTTTTATAGGAAAGACATAGTTAAACTGGAAAGTGTGCAAAGAAGATTTACGAGGATGTTGCCAGGACTAGTAGGCCTGAGTTATAGGGAGAGATTGGCCAGGATAGGACTTTATTCCATGGAACGTAGGAGAATGATGGATGACCTTATTGAGGTGTATAAAATAGTGAGGGGTTTTGATAGGATGAATGCATACAGTCTTTTTCCCAGGGATGGGGATTTGAAAACTAGAGAGCATAGGTTTAAGGTGAGAGGAGAAAGATTTAAGAAGGACCTTGGGGCAACTTTTTCATGCAGAGAGAGGTGTGTATGTGGAATGGGCGGTCAGAGAAAGTGATTGGGGCAGATACAATAGCAACACTTAAAAATCATTTGGATAGGTATATGGATGGGAAGGTTTTAGAGGGATATAGACCAAATGTGGGCAATTGGAACTCGATGAGTGGTTATCATAGTTGGCATGAACGAGTTTAGGCCAAAGGGCCTGTTTCCATGCTGTATTACTGTATGTAGTATTAGACAAACCAATATGCATAACGGCAGATAAATCCCCTGACTGATGGCTTGCATCCTAGGACCCTAGAAGGGGGGGCACAGTGGCTCAGTGGTTAGCAATGCTGCCTCACAGTGCCAGGGACCTTGGTTCGATTCCACCCTCGGGCGACTGTCTGTGTGGATTTTGCACATCTTGTGTCTGCCACGGTCCAAAGATGTGCAGGTCAGGGTGGATTGGCCACGCTACATTGCCCATAGTGCCCAGGGATATGCAGGCTAGGTGGATCAGCCATTGGAAATGCAAGGTTCCAGGGATAGGGTAGAGGGATGGGGCTGGGTGGAATGCTGTTCAGATGGGCATTGTGGGCTCGATGGGCTGAATAGCCTGTTTCCACAGTATAGGGATTCTATGATTGTATTAAGAAGTAGCTGCAGAGATTGTGGATGCATTGGTTGTATTCTTGAAAAATCTTGAATTCCTGAGAACTATCTGAGGATTGGAAAACTGCCAATGTGACACTTCATTCAAAAAGGGAGGGAAGCAAACCATAAGCTGATTAGCTTAACATCTATAGATGGAAAAGTATTAGAATCAATTAAGGAGGTAAAGTAGCACATTTGGAAAATCAAGCAGAGTTATCATGGCTTCATGAAGCAGAAATCATGTCTGACTAACTTATTAGAATTTTTCCAAGGAAGTCTCAACCAGAGTGGATAGAAGGGAACCAACAGACTTGTTATATTTGGACTTCCAGAAGGTATTCAGCAAGGAACCTCTCAAAAGGTTAAGTCATAAAATAGCAGCTCACGATGTTGGAAGTAGTATATTGGCATGGCTAGTGGGCAAGAAACAGCAAATGGGGCTAAGTGGTTCTTTTTCAGGTTGGCAACCTATAACTAGTGAGGTTCCACAGGGATCACTGCTGGGACCACAACTGTTTACAATATATATTAATGACTTGGAGGAAGAAAATGAATATTACCAAATTTGCAGATAACCAAAAATAAGTGGAAGGGCAAGTTGTGAGTGAAATACACACAGTTTACAGAGAGATATTGGTAGGTTAAGGATCTGGCAAATGGCGTATAACCTGGGAAAAAGTGAAATTATTCATTTTAGAAGGGAGAACAGGAGAACAATAATAATTAAATGGAGAAAATCTACAACATAAAGGGACTTGGGAGTACTTGTGCACAAAACAAACACAGATGTAGCTGCCAATCAAGAAGGTTAATGGAACGTTGGCCCTTAATTCAAGGGGATTGGAAAATAAGAGTACGGAATTTTTAATGCAGCTGTACACAGCAAGAGTACTGTGGGCAGTTTTGGCATTGGAGGCAGTTAAGAGAAGATTCACTAGGATGATCCCTGGTATGGAGAATTGACATAAGAGCAAAGGCGTTCTACTCACTGGAGTATAGAAGAATGAGAGGTGATCTCATTGAAACATTCTTAAGGGGCATGACAGGGTAAATGTTGAAAGGGTGTTCTCCTGATAGGAGAGTCTAGGAACAGAGGGCATTGCCTTAGAATAAAGGGGCAGCAATTTAAGATTTTAGCTTTCTTTTAGCTTTGCTCGGTATATTCTCTGTCTGTCTCTCTCTTCCCTTCCCTCACCCAGAGAGGGACTGTCTATTCTTTCAGGTCTGGCAGTTAGACACACCATTGTTCTACCATTCTCACATTCCGATCACTTAATCTGAACTATCAACATCCTTTCTTCCCAAGCAGTCCACCCCCTCCCCTCCATTGCATAAATGCTGCCCCCTCCATAGTTCACTTTGGCTCTGAGGAAGAGTCATCTAGACTCGAAAAGTTCGCTTGTTTCTCTCCATGGATGCAGCCTGACCCGCTGTGATCTCCAGCACTTTTTGCTTTCAGTTCAGATTCCAGCATCTATAGTAATTTGCTCTGATAGATAGACTATTGACCAGTTAGGAGATCAAGAGTTACGGGGGAAAGACATGAGAGTAGACCTGAGGAATGTTGGATTAGCCATGGTCCCATTGAATGCAGCAGGCTGAAGATGCTATTCCAATTTCTTACAGTCTTAAAATGTCTCTTTTCTCAGCAATGCTCAAGTTCTGTACATGCACATCTGGAATTCAGAAGGACATTGATCTTATTGAAACATATAAGGTTCTAACAGGAATTTACAGGATCGTTGCCAAGAGGCATAGAGTGCCACAATGAGAAGAAATTTTCTTGCTCAGAAACTTGTAAATTTTTGGAATTCCATTCCTGGGTATATTCAAGGCTGAAATCATTAAATTTTTGCTTGAAAGGGAATCAAGGGATATCGAGATCAGGCCAGAATATGGACTTGAGATAAAGAAATTGAGCATCAGTTCCTTCATCATTGTTAAATGGGGGAGCAGCTTTGAAAGGAAATATGTGATTTTTCTGAGATCCTTAGCAGTTAGGGTAAGAATGTAAATTTGTTGAATGCCAGCTGTAATCACCGGTGATACCTAGGTATTGTATCACATGTTGTCCCGCTCCTTCATGTTCTGAGTCGTGTGCCTATCCCACAGTGATTCCACTAGCTTCACCACCCACCTTTTCCATCCCCAACCTGCATAATGCCACATGTACTGACGTCTAATGCTATTTGTTTGGTTCTCCATTGCAACTCTACATCACTGTACACTAGCTTCTGCCTATTCCCTGTTTCCATGCAGGTTCGTCATACTCCATGCTGCACAAATTGTTATGACTCACATCACATTCTGTCCCCAGGTTGTTACATTTCTGAAAATCTCTACAATCTTTTCACAATTTGAAGAATTCAGGTCCACTCCCAACTTAGTTATACATTTGGATCGAGGGACTGTGAAATTTTATTGGGGTTGGGGGGCTTCCTGGACAGGAGACAAAGAGAGAGAATGTTACTACAGACCTGGACAGCTGGAAGAATAGAACAGAATTGAAAAGGTAAGTGTAGAAAGGCAAAATAGAAAAGAGCAGAGGGATAAGAGAACAAATGTTGGAAAAAGAGTTGATAGACTGAACTCTACAAGACTGCAACTGTTCCTTGTTGATTGACACTTATGTTTTAGTGTCAGACCCTTCAAGTCATCTAATTTCAAAAGTCCCAAATTTGGGATCATCATAAATATTGTTTGGAAGTTCATAATCTTGTGCTGAGTTAGCTCTTAGTGTTAGGGCTTCACTGTCCATTTTCCATTGCATGTAATATTGGCAAAACCTGTTGGACTTTGAACAAACAGGATCTTTGCAAAATTATCCAGGATATCCCTGATCTGCAGTTGAGTGAATGCCAGCATTTGTGCTCTGGACTTTTTCTGTCCCTTCTCCTGTTCTTTGGTCAAAATATTAGGGTGATGTTGTCATCTGGGTACTGGACTTAAAGTGACTTAACTGTCTTTCAGTCAAAAACAAAATACACGTGGATTTATGTGGGAGGGTGACATTCAAACAATGAATGCAAACAGAAACCATGTCACGACGAGCAAAGCTATTCAAGATTTGTCTAACACCAGGATTTGGTAAACAGCAGGTCAAAGCCAAAAATCTCAACCCAAGCCACAAAGTCTGCCATGTCCCTGACATACCCGACATGGTGTCCAGGATCAGGGAAGTATTTACTCCCCTTTATTTCACAGTGCCATTCTCAGAGATACTGTTCAAGTATCCTTTGTGTGAATGAATTGGGACTGATGAAGGGTCCCGACCCAAAATGTCAACTTTCCTCCTCCTCTAGTGCTGCCTGACCTGCTGTGTTCCTCTAGCTCCACACTGTATTGACTCTGACTTCCAGCATCTGCAGTTCTTGCTATCTCCTAGTCACTGAAAACCATACTGCGAAGTCTCTTCCAAGAATGCCCACCTTGAAGAAGTTGTCCTCCTCCCTCCGAAAAGATCTGTGGGTCTCTCTCCTACTGCAACCCCCGGTGATCTCCTCTGTCCTGAAGCTCTTCAACTATATCCTTAAACAAACCCATTACTACAGCCATGTC